TATTTTGACAAGTCAATATTTCCCTACATAAACATCAAAAAGCATTGATGATGATTCATTCGGAATCGAAATATGGCCTTATTTGCAGCATGAGTTCGGAAAATAAGTTTATTTTGAATTTTAATAAACTAAACGTTCACAAGAAAACTTTAGTGAGAAAAATCGAAAAAACGAACTACAAACATATTAACGCCAAACATTCGGTAGAATTTATAGAATATTGTAAAAATTATGGTCTATTACCAATATATATATATATATATATATATATATATATATATATATATATATATATATATATATATATATATATTTGAGCATCTGGCTACATTAAAAACGTATCAATTCGAGCATGGAAGAGTGTATAGGAATACCGAAAATAGATTTTTTTGTTCTATCGTGCATAAAATAAACAAAATTTTGGTTTTGAACTCTGGAAACTTGAGAATTATTTATGATCAGCCGTTCGAAAAATCGAAAGGTTAAACAGGAAGTTAACTAACGCCGAACTAGGTACTGACATGCTAATGAGATGAGTTTCACTATTCTGTACCTATTTATGTTAGAAACAGAATGAAAGATAACTTAGTAAAAAAAATGCCCGCTATTACGATGCTGGCTATTTTGTCAAAATGTTTGTTACCTTGTGAAAAAATATTCTCGTTAAAAGAGTGTCTATCAATATTTTAAAATGGTTGGTTGTAGTTTTTTTTATGAATATTTTGAAAAATTGTAATAAATTAACGTATATCGAAACATCAGTGGTATTGGTATTTTGAAAAAAATTGTTAACCACCAAAATGCATAAAATTATTTTTCAATTTTTCGATTTTCTCAATTTGCATTTCCAACGCTTTTTGTAAAATAAAAGTAGCGGTTAAACAAAATATATTGACGGATTATTGAATGTTTTACCTTCTAAACAAATGATCACTTTTCCATATTCATTTTTTAGTTGAAACTTGCCTTTAAAAATTCCGTTGATCTGGAGGTTATAATAATAATAATGATATTATGAAGAAAAATTTCTTTTATTGTTCATTTACAAATTCGAACTCATTTATCTGCTTCATGTTTCCTGACAGATATTTACCAAACCAATTTTCAGGGTTACAACGTTCTGAATTTTTAAAATATTCTTAGCAGCTCTTGATGAATGGATTGAGATCTTGCTGATAAATAAAATGCTATGATTTAATTTTGCATATAACAGCATTCTTCAATCTGTATTTTAATGTATGCCTGTAAACTTCGGCGATTACGGAAGAATGCTGTTGAACTTCTTCCTGGTGCCGAAAAAGCTTGGTAGACCATAATAAATCCTTTTTTTTTAATTTTAGAATATCTCGTTTTTGTCACACAAACAAAACTCATTGCTCTGTGGTCCATTTAAACAAAACTCATTGCTCTGTGGTCCATTTGGAATGAAAGGTTAATTTTCCAAAATTTGAAATTAAACCGAGTAAAATTCTTGCGGGCTGCAAGAAATAAACTGAACGGTCGAATTGTCTCAAAAATTTTGGAGTAGCTGGAACAATGAACTCAGGTTGTAAATGGGAAGTGGATATCAAACGAAGGATAGCTATGGCGAAAGATGTATATTCTAAAATGAAAAACATCCTCACCAACAGTAAAATCAGAATATCAACAACATTAAAACTGTTAGGGTGGTACATTTTTCATGTGCTAACTTGCGGCTCTGAGTCCTGGACAATTTCTAAAGAAATGGAAAAAAATTACGCTGCTGAGATGTGGTTTTTTAGAAGAATTATGAAAATTAGTTGGACCTCTCACATTTCGAATGAGGATGTATTAAAACGGTCAGGTTATGAAAAGAGAAAATTATTACAGATAATCCGATGGGGACAGTTTTTTAGTCACATCATGCGGAAGGAAAAAATGGAAAATCTAACAACTCAACTACTGGAAAGATTTCAGGAAAAAGAGATCGTGGTCAACAACGAATCACATTCGTGAAGTCCTTGTGTCATTTGTTGAATATCACCATATTTCAAATACTAAGAAGTGTTAAAGATTGGGTTTTGTGGAGATCGATGGTCGCCAATGTCCTAAAAGGATAAGGCACGAGAAAGAAGAAAAGAAATAAAACAAGTGTCCAAACTCACCTCCCCCGGCGGTACGCCAACGTTTTATTTTCGACAAGCCATAAATAAAAAATTAAAAAATGGACATGCATAAACAGTACACAAAAAATCAGTTGAAAGGTGGGAAGTCAAGTGAAATAACCACGTTCAGAGTCAAACGGGAAATTATTAAAGAAATTTATTGTTAAATAAATAAAAATAACTGCAAATTTAAATGAATACCAAGAAGAGGTCATCTTTCAAATCGAAAGTGAGACTCCCAGATAAATCTGCATGTATATGTTGTATAATGTAAAGTGAAGTAATTTATTCAAAAATGAAAGTTAAAACATCTGACCTTGTCCTTTTTTTATAGGACATTTTATATTCGGAAGGTAATTTGCTGATGAAAATAGATGATTATAACTGCATTCCATTTCCGAACACTTGTCAAATAAGTGGAACCCAGTATAATATTCATAAACGGTAGCACAATGGGTACCAAAGTTGAAATTATCTTCTAAAAATTGAACAAAAAAGATTTGATAACGTTGTCTTATCATGTTTGAACCTAATTAAAAATCAAACCTGCCACCAAAGATAAATTAATCTTGTATGTCTGAAAATAAGTTATGTAATTTGGCTCAACCGAAACTGTGACTTTAGGCGTTGATTCTGGGTAAATATTTATTTTATTTAAAAATTACATTTTTTAAGTTATTTTGTACAGAACGCACACCTATATCACATTATCATTTTAACACACACGCGCGCACAAATACATACACACTATATACATATAGAAATAAATACGCACATACATACACACACATACACACACACACACACACACACACATATATATATATACATACATATAAGTTGTAAGCTAGTCGTGTCTGCAATTATTTATAAAACCCACAACATTTCCTTTTAATTTTTTATTAGATCTGTGTGCGTGCAAAATATAAATATAAAATAATGTCTTACATTTACATTCAAAATATTTATATTACCTATTCATCTCAATGGCTATCATATACTCAGTGTGTATTAAATTAAAGCTCAAAGTTAAACCTTTCAATAAAAATCTAAAAAAGTATTATTTTACAAATCGAGTCGTTAGATTGTGGAATGACCTTCCTGATGGTGTGGTGTGCTCTCGTAACATTGCTGAATTTAAGAAGAATGTGGACAATCATTGGTTTAACATTCCTTGGAAATTTGAATATGATTGTTATAAATGGTATACAGTAAATGTTGTTGGACGTTATATGTTTGTTTAATTTATTATTAAACAATTGCAAAATGATTGCCATTAATTTCATTATTTTGTTTGTGGTTGTTTATTATAATTAAAAAAATACTGTATATTTTTATTTCAATTTATATTATGATACCGTTATGTCACTGAAGTTTTCTTTTATTTATTGTTTTATCTATTTAATTAATTATGTATCTGTTTGTTCCACTTAATGTTACGATTGCGTCTATACATATTATATATATGATGTGATGAGGTGTGCACATATGTATCTGAGATGATTTGTTTAATTATAGAATTTCTATTTAGGTATACTTATTTACTTTTGATTTAATTTTATGTGTAATTATGTGTGATGAATTTGTGTACAGACGAGAATGTGTATAAGCAAACGAGTGTTTGGATGTACCCTATGTGTGAACTAAATATATGTATATTGTTAAGTTAATATATAGTTATTGACATTTATTGGTTATTACTATACTTTTTAAAGTATTTATATGTATTTACGGTGTGTCTGTGTATAGACGTCTGGGTAGGTGTGCTTGAGATTATTCATTATCAGTATTGTTTTAGTATATGTATGCATGTATTATACGGGTGTGTGTGGATGTGTTTTGTGTGTGATAGTATGTGTGGGTAACGTACATCTTTATTTTATTTAGAAGTATATAAGTGAGTGTGTGCGTGCGTGTTTATTTCTGTTTTTGAAAAGTCATCATATATAATGATGTTATAATAACATTTTATTTCATTTAGATATGGGCATATGTTTTTCGCGCCAATCATTTCTTTATGCTTATGTATATGATGCTCTGCTTGCGCGTGCACATAAATACATGTGTACGTCGTGTGAAAAGGATAAACAGCCTTTGTGGCGAAGATGGCTGCTTCATATCAATGGATGAAGATATGAAGAACATAATAAAAGATATATAGAAAATATATAATATAAATCAATATAAATATAATAGTAACATTGTAAGTGGTTCTGCGTATGTCAGAGCTGCAATAATAAAGACTAATAAAAAAAAGGACTAATGAGAATTGAAATTATCGAGAGATGTAGGTGGATATGATGAGAAATAGGAATGGATATTTTTCTTTGATATATTATATAGGGATTGCATAGTTGTGTTTGGGGGCATTAACGAATTATTATGTTATATTATTATGCGGTTTTGATTATTATATTATCATGTGGTTTTGATTGATTGTAACGATGAGTGAACGATGGTAATAGTTTGATTCTATTTTACAAATAATCGAGCGTCTAATTTGTTAAAATCTTGGGTGATTTAGGGATACGAAATTGGTAATTAAATTTAGTATGCTTAACTTGTTAATTCGTAATTGTTGTTGATATTGTTATAATACTCGCTGTCGTAACTGATTTACGATGCGACGGGTTCAAATCTTCGATTGAATAAAATACTCCAAACAGTTATTAGTTATTAAACTTTATTGAATCGCTATTCACGAAATCACAAAATCACGAATTTCACTAATCCCGAATCTTCTTGTGAGGTGCGCTTATATACTCTTCGCAAGCGTCGTTTCTAGATTCTTCTAGATGGTCCGATTCTAGCATACTCTAGTCTAAAATGCTCCAGTCACTAGAACATTCTAGAAAACGCTAGAATCTAGTGCGTTCGGTAGCACGGTTATAACATTACCCCCTTCTTAGTCCTGTTCGTCCCGAACAGCTTTCGTTCCGGTGTCCGCATGGTACGGAGCCAGTCTATTCAAATGAACGATCTTCATTCTTGCTCTCGGCTTCCGATATTCCTGAATACGGTAGACGACGTCATTCAAGCGGGTGATGACTTGATAAGGTCCTTCCCACCCTCGCTGGAGCTTTGGAGAACGTCCTTTTTTTCGCTGTGGGTTGTACAGCCAAACTAACTCGTCGACAGCAAAACCGCCACTGCTTCCTTTCAAGTCGTATCTGGTTTTGGCTGCCTCCGTGTTTTTTATAATTTTAAGGCGTACGTAACGGTGGATATGGTTTAATCGCTGTCGAAGATTATCTACGTATTCTGTTAATGGTTGGTGTGGTTCAGATGGTACGCCATATTTCACATCAGCTGGAGTTCTTAAGGTAGTCCCAAACAGAACTTTTGATAGCGTTTCTCCAGTAGTTGTGTGGATAGCACTCCGGTATGCCATAAGAAACAATGGTATATGACGATCCCAATCCCGTTGATTTTCGTCGACTACTTTAGTCAGATGTTTAATCAGGGTTTGGTTAAATCGTTCCACCATACCGTCAGACTGTGGGTGAAGAGGTGTCGTTCGAGTTTTGTTTATACCCAGCAGCTTGCACATTTCACCAAACAGTTGCGACTCAAAATTTCGACCTTGATCTGAGTGGAGTTCCAATGGGACACCATATCGACTAATCCAATTGAGTAAAATTTCTTCAGCGACGGTACATGCTTCTTGGTTGGGTATTGGAAACACCTCAGGCCATTTGCTGAAATAGTCCGCTACAACCAGAATGTAACGGTTTCCATAATCTGATACCGGAAAGGGTCCAGCAATATCTATAGCAATCCGTTCAAAGGGGACACCAACGTTGTAGATTTGCATTGCTCCTTTTAGCCTTCTTTTGGGTCCTTTGACTGAAGCGCATGTGTTACATTTTCGACACCAGCTCTCTACATCTTCTCTAACGTGAAGCCAGTAGAATCCTTCTCGTATTTTGTTAAGGGTCTTGTTCACTCCTAAATGTCCCCCAGAAGGGCCGCCATGCATTTCATCAAGGATTTCGGTCGTTCTACTTCTTGGTATTATAACTTGCATGCGGTGTTTTGATCCATCAGCTGATTCCCATTTTCGTTTCAGCAAATCCCCTTCCAAATACAATGAGTCCCACTGAGCCCAATAACTCTTTAACACGGCACTATATTCTGAGATGCTTTGCCAGTCCGGTCGCTTGCCCTCCTTCTTCCATGTGATCAGATGTTGTAGGTCCTCATCCGCAACTGTGCATCAGCAAGATCCGTCGGTGTCCAACCGTCATCCGCTGATATTGTTGTTGCTCTTATGTCTTCCGATTATATCTTCTCGTGACGACAGCAATATTTGCATCCTGGTAAACATGGTCGACGTGAGAGAGCATCAGCATTACTATGAGTTGTTCCTTTGGTAGCTGTTCGAAGGATGTATTTGTTAGAAGTCTTTTTCTTCAGATTGGGTACCAAATCAGATCTTAAAATTGATTTTGTTGCTCCGGTGTCGACTCTAGTTACACATTCTTGTTGATCAACTTTTCCGTTCAGCCATAGGTCGTTTCGATTTCGATGTAGTCTGGAAACGTTAATTACGGTACTGGGGGCGTCAATTCTACTAGCCAACCTCTGCCCCACAAAGTTGGCTCTTATTAGCTTTTCCGACCCTTCTAACGAAGGGGCCGATCGTGATGCAGGATCATCTTCTCTTCTTTTGCGCCATCTTGTCGCGCAATTTCGGCAGTAGTTATCTTTTAGGCGGTGTTTACAATCACGACGTAGATGGCCTTTTTCACCACAAATCCAGCATTGGGGTACACCATGTTGTTGGAGTTCGCGTTTCACAACCACTTTCTGGCAAGAGCATTCTTCATGTACTTGGCGTAGACTTACGTCACTTTTTGATGCTTGCTTTGCCGATTCAAAAGTGAGACTGTGCGCAACGGCATCCTTGAGTTTTCGTTTATCTGACAAGAGAAGGGATTGCTTGAGTTCCGAATCACGAAGGGCTTTGATAAACGTATTCAGGGCAGTTTCGTCTCTATGCTCGGGTCTGATGTCGGATACGACAGCAATGTCAACCGTTCGATATCTTGTGCCAGCTGCTGAATGGATTCACCAGATCGTTGCGTTCTGTTTCTAAGCTGAGACCGATAAATCTGTTTCATGTGTTCTTCACCATAACGTAATTCCAACGCGCTAACCAGAACTTCATAGTTGAAGTGGTTCTCCGCCGGAATCGTCTGAAGAACCTCTGCTGCTGAACCTCGCAAGGCCAGTATCAGTGCTGTTGCTCGTTCTTTTCCGTTCCAACAGTTACTAGTTGCCGCTGCTTCGAACTGGGTTTTATAAACGTTCCAGGGCATCTCTCCGTCAAATGCTGGTACCTTCAAAGTTCTTCCGGATGCGTGATCTAACGGCATGGTCATTTTTTTTGATTGCTCCTATTCTCGCTTCAATTTGTCTATCTTGTGATCTACCTCAACGGTCTGACGATCAAGTTTCTGCTCGATCATTTCTATTCTTGTTGACTGTTCTTCAATCTGTTCTGCCACTTCCAATTTTACGTGTTTTTGCTGGTCCTTGATCTGTTTTAACTCCTCTGTCTGTCGTTCGGACTGTTTCTTGATCTGTTGTTTTAACTCTTCTGTCTGTCGTTCGGACTGTTGTTTTAACTCTTCTGTCTGTCGTTCGGACTGTTCTTTGATCTGTTTCATTTCAGTTGACATACCAAGCAGAAGTTCCATCATTTTAGCGGTTGTAAACGTGCCTGTACTAATTTCATTGTCTTCGTCAGCACCATCAAACTTGAATTCGTCTGGGTTCTTACCTTCGTCAATTAGAGCTTCTCTCAGACGTGCTACTAGTACTTCTTTGTTGCCACTTGTGACAAGGCTTCGTTTCTGTAGTTCTTCTCTTAGCTGAACTACGTTCAAACCACACAGTTTTGACATCGTGTTCTTTTTCAATGAGTAGTAATTCGCTGGTCGAAGATCCCACTTCTGACACCAATGTTATAATACTCGCTGTCGTAACTGATTTACGATGCGACGGTTTCAAACCTTCGATTGAATAAAATACTCCAAACAGTTATTAGTTATTAAACTTTATTTACAGAAGAAATCAACTAATCGTTTATTTCTAGCAAATTCAAATTAACGCAACAATTAACTTTTAAATTGTTTAAAATCTATCGCTATGACAACGTCAACAAACAAATCAAATATCGCGTTAAATAATTCACCAAATCGCTATTCACGAAATCACAAAATCACGAATTTCACTAATCCCGAATCTTCTTGCGACGTGCGCTTATATACTCTTCGCAAGCGTCGTTTCTAGATTCTTCTAGATGGTCCGATTGTAGCATACTCTAGTCTAAAATGCTCCAGTCACTAGAACATTCTAGAATACGCTAGAATCTAGTGCGTTCGGTAGCACGGTTTTAACAATATGGTTATGATGTTTGTACTGAATTCTAAACATTACATTGGGACATCCAAATTCTATTTATTTGTGCAAAAATGCTTCAAATATAATTTTTATTTCTTTTATTTTCTTTTTTGAACTCTTTTGCGTTGATCATCATTGTCATCCGTGATGTTACTTTTAGTTCATGCATCTTTTAAAATAAATATTAGGTCATTGGTTTGAGACTGTACGATATACAAGTTGTTTTAAACAACACTGTAGACATATATATATATATATATATATATATATATATATATATATATATATATATATATATATATATATATATATATATATATATATATATATATATATATATATATATATATATATATATATATATATCTCTCTATATATATATATATATATATATATATATATATATATATATATATATATATATATATATCT